CACCCGCCTCAACCGCCGGCGGTGGGTGGGGGCATGAGCCGGGGGCTGGCGGGGAGGCCCGGCCCGGCCCCCCTCCCCTCCGCTCCCCGCAGGGCGGCTGTCAGAGGTGGGCCGGCGCCCACAGAACTGCCGGCAGTTTCAGACATTGCTAGCGCGTCGCTGTGAAACACGGCGTTGATGTCATCGAGTCGAAATGTCCTTAAACTTTGTACCCGTCAATAGGTCTGTAACGTGCGCAGACGTCAAGCGCGCCCTGGGCCCTTCATTAGGCTGCGGGATTCTTGTAGGCTTACAAGGCCTCAGGATCTGCCAGTTTCCAATGAAGGCAAGTCCGCGCTTCCTGAATGAAACCACCGCAATGCGTCACTACAAAAGGTGTCCCAGTCCACACCGGCGAGCTCAGTGTTAGGCATGTTACTGGTTCTACACAGAAATATTTAATCAACTTCAGAAACAACCAACGTCTGCTTTTTATGACACGTACTTGACTTAGATACAGAATCCATAAGCAAAGAAACAAAGCGGAATTCATTGATACAAAATTGTTGAAACCAGACTCAAAAGCATATGCAGCATAATGCAATTTAAATTAGTGGTAAGAATCGTTTTAGTGTTTTGGAGTGCTCTGTAAGTGAGCCCAATCCTTGTTAAGCTTCTGCTTTTACATCAGTAAACAGACTCCTCAGCTACAGATGTAATGGAGCCTCCACAGTATCTCTCTCACTTGCATACACACTTTTACCCACAGAAAATTCTTATGGCTTGGAGTAGGCATCCTAGCTCATCCTGTTTAGATGAAAAATGCTTTTGTCAACTTGCTCCCTCCTTTTTTTTTTTTTTTTTTTTTTTTTTTGGCTTAGTATACTTTCAGGTAGAAAGTAGAAGGAAAGATTGTTAAAAAAAGTCTTCATCTAGTGTATGTAAACAGTATCAAATAATATAAATATATCACTTCCTCCCCTGAGACAGCCACACATTATTCTTCTCTCTTCTTATTCATATATTCATTCACCACAATTCCATCCATTCATCTATAATTCTGTAAATGCCCGTTAGGTAATCAAACATATTTTCTTTCATTGTAATTGGGTATGCACCCTAAATGTCCTTAAAATCAGAAAGCCTAACAAATCATTCATCTAGTCATTTTCATTACTCAGGATTTCACTGGATATTTGTTTTCACTGAAAACTGGATTCATCATATTATCCACAAATTCTTAATTCCCTCTCTGATCAACTGTTTCAGGACAGCTAAGGAATCTGTTACAAGGATTAACTGACAAATGTAGGCACCTGGACCTGTGGTCATCTTCAACCCCTTCAATGACCTTCAACCCCAAAATACATTTCAAAAATATCAGCACATCCTTTTTCTTCTAAAAAATGATAGAGCTGCCCCAAATCCATATGATTTCCTCTGGCACCATGTGCATCAAAGCATTTTTCCTCCAAAGTGGAGAACTTTCTTTGTTTCTGAATCTCAGCATGTCCTCCGCCTTCCAAAGAAACATCTTCTCTGTGCCGAATGAGAATTCTTTTCCATGTTAATCTCCTTACTCTGAAAGAAATCAGAGAAATATGAATCTGTCTATAAAATAAAGACCATTTTAGAGAACACCATGAAATAGCTATTATCACAGAAGCCAACAAATTCTTTCTGTACATATATCTTGACAAAGATAATGGTTCCCTAGCTGGTCACGCAAACACTCCCATAAGCAGGAGCTTGTTTCTTTATATCTCCTCAGGATTCAAAAACCTTAATGTTATTCCTCACAAAATAATTGATGGCAATGTGGTTTTGATTACAGTGCTCACTTCTGCCCTGCCTGTGCCAAGAATTCTCATACTCTCTTAGCAGTTATAATCAAATTACAATGTTCATTTAGTCCGCACCACTTAGAAGTCTAAATGATGGGAGCAGAATAAAACATGAATGTGAAGCGATATAACAGCATACATATCTAACACGGCTGGGGTATTGCAGTCTTGTTATACAAGTGAAATACAGAGGAAGATAGAAATAAACGTGTACCATGTGGTACTAGTAGCTTTGATTGCTGCAGCCAGCAGTACAATGGGTATTTAGAGCTGTAAATACCTTATCATAAACACAAATACTTTGCAGACCTTTACAGGTTGGATTTGCCATCTTCTGGCCGCAGATACAACATGAAAAATGCAATATTCTAACTACTAATGGCATTTAAATACAAAGGAAAACTAACCTTGACCAGAACTCTTCACAATTACTTTGTAGACCTTCTACACAAACAACACCTGGTTTCCCTGGCATGCAAAACCCAGACAGAGAGAGCTCCTTGGCCCAGTCAATAATATTCTTTCTCTTTTGCTTGTTGTAAATGTGATGACTATAGATCCACAATCGAGTGAATGTGATGACTTCTGGCTGGATGGCATTTGATGTTGGCACCGAGAAAGATGAAAGCTCTTTGTCAATGTAAGCAGATGCGTGGTCTTTAACCCATTCCCTTGCACTCAACATGCAGGGCTCACCACTGCAGTTTTGCGTCAAATATGTTTTTAGATCAGAGTTCAGATGAATCTGCTGAGAGCGGCTTAATAATGATGATCTAAAGAAAAAGAAAAATATAAATGCAGTGGTAATATGCTTACAACTTAGCACATTTTTCAAACAGTTTTACTTCAAGCAGCCAAAAAATAAAATCAGGCCATATTTAGATGGTATGCATTTGCTATTGATCAATTTAAGTCATATCAGCTATGAAAAGGTCTGTGCTAACTATTGAGTTCATATATAGTACTACCAATCTGTAAATGAAGAAAAAGGTACTTGAAAAGTAAATATGGTGGCTGAACTAATTTCCTATAATATGCAAGTCTACTTCTTTAAACAGGAATGTTCCAATAAAAAATAACAGAAGCCTGGGAGTAACAGCATTTTGACAAGGAAAGAATAAGACCATTGAGTAACTTGTCACTCCTTTAGTTAGTGTTAAGCCTAGTCAGAATGGACAACAGTCCCTCTCTTGAGCATCAAACCTATGAACAGTATCTACATATAATCCCTCTGTACAGAAGATGGCACTCTTCCATACTTTTCTGATTTTCCTCATTTATTTGCTAAGAACACCAGAGAAATCATAACCTTGTATATATTTCTTCAACACTGTTGTCCATCTGGCTTAATTAAACTGTCAAAAAAGGACTGCTTTTTCCTATTATAACTGTATTTATGTAGTACACAATAGGTTCTAAATGTTTTTATTAGCCATCCTTTTAATGCCATACCTCACAGTAATTTCTGGTAGAACAGTTGGATATTTGAATGGTAAAGCACAGGCCATAGAGAATTCCACCTAAAACCAAATGAGCAAATGTTCAGTTCAAGTAAGCTCTAAAATCATACAAAGTAAAAATGAGTAGTAAAAAAAGAAGAAAGGTGTTTACAATACCATAGAGGCATTAGAGACTTCTAGCTTTATGTTCAGTATAAACTGAATTTTCGAAGATGGCATCTCTGCAGACTCATTTTCAATAAAGTGTTTTAGTTCAGCTACAGCCAGCTGGTCAGTCACAATGAACTCTTCCTCGTAAGGAAACATGCTAGACAGTAAATCTAATTCTGAAATTTGTATCTCTGCCTCTTCTCGGTTAGTCATTTCTGTTGTTTCCTAAGCAAATAAATCGGGGAAGAAAACAGGACTTGAAGACGGGACAAAGTCCATTAACTACACCCACTTAAATCATATTAATCCCTACAGCCAAGCCCATCAAAACTAGCTCATGTGTGTTGGGCAGTTAGGGGCACGGAGATACTCCGCACAGTCCACGTGGTTCCCATTGGCCTGACGGGACAAGTCGCGGTGCTGTGTCACCAAATCAACTTCTCTCTGGCAGGGCCGCACGCTCGGGGCGCTGCCGCCTCCACCGCGCTGACCACCACAGAGGTGGACGTTACAGCGCCTCGGAAGCCTCCACTTCCCTGCCTGCCCCCCCCGAGAAACCCCGACCCCGCCGCCCACCGGCGGCGCCCGCGGCCCGGGCAGGCGGAAGGCGCTCGCGCATGCGCAGACACGTCCTCATGCCCGCTCCCGTCACTGCCCTCCCTCCGCCGTGCCCTCACGGCCCCACAATGCAACGCGCCGGAAGCGCGCATGGCAGCCGGAGGCCGTCGCCCCGCCGCCTAGAGATGAGGTGAAGTTGCCGGGCTGCCCCGAGACGGAGCTATGCGCCACCAAGCTATTGGCTCTGCGACGCCGGCAGGTGAG